GGTAGAATTTAAGTTTAATAACACTCTACTGGCTGATTTATAGGTTTCATTGGTTTGATGTAATTTGCTAATTTTTTTTTTTTAAAAATAGAAGTTGACAGTAGTGCTTTATCAAGATATGGTTCAGTTCATGTAAAGTAGAAGATACCGAGTGTAAGGATTGGGGCAGTTTTCATGCAGATGTAATTTGCTAATTTTTTTTTTTTAAAAAAATAGAAGTTGACAGTAGTGCCTTATCAAGATATGGCTCAGTTCATGTAAAGTAGAAGATACTGAGTGTAAGGATTGGGGCAGTTTTAATGCGCCTACTATGGAAAAAATCTGTTTAGTGCAAGAAAAGATATTTGATGTTGAAGTCAGAGTCCTTGTTACGTCCATTTAGACCTTTCCTGCACTGATATTCAAAACAGAAGGAAAGATCTTTACTTGTGGAGAATGTCATGTTTCCACACTTAACCTGATAATGAGAAATACGTAGTGTTTATAGTAAGTTACCCTGGTGCACATGCTGCAGATATTGAACAAAGTGAAGACCTGTATTCCTTCCTGGAATTAGGATTTATTTAACCATTTCATCCATGTAAGTAGAGGTTTGCCTGCTATAAGTTGATGAGCATAATTTGGAAGTCATGGAAAAGAACTGATCTGTTGTGATGTGTTTTGTTTTGAGTGGTTTCTCGGGATATGGAGCAGGTAAGACACATGTAATGACTGTGGTTTGATGGAGGTTGAAGAGAAAGGTGTTGAGGGAAGGTGTGGGGGAGATGGATAGGTGGGTCAGGAGGCACAGAGCTTAGTGGGAGGAGACAAAGTGTTGCCTTATTGAACCAGCCTTATGGTTAATACGATTTTAATGTAATCAGCTTGCTTACTTTGAGACTTTTCTTCTGTGGCTCTTTACTCTTAAGCTGACTACTGGTTGGAGTTTAATTGGTCAAGTAAGGAACATGCTGACTTTTCTCAAGTGATAGTCAGCTAGGGAAAAGTTGGAAGCTGCTGTTGTCTAGAATAGGAACATGCTGACTTTTCTCAAGTGATAGTCAGATAGGGAAAAGTTGGAAGCTGCTGTTGCCTAGAATATCTATCCATGTTAACTTCATATGAACATTAACTATAATTTGTGTGGTATGCTTAAGTAGTCTTGAGGCATCCATAATGGTGTCCTTGTGCTCAAAGGGAAGAGGCTGAGGGGGGACCTTATTGCTCTCTCCAACTACCTGAAAGAAGTCGTGGGTGTGTAGTGAGGTGGATGTTGGTCTCTTCTACCAAGTAACAAGTGACAGGATGAGAGGAAACGGCCTCAGATTGCACCAGGGGAGGTTTAGATTGGACATCAGGAAGAATTTCTTTGCCAAAAGAGTGGTCAAGTATTGGAACAGGCTGCCCAGGAAAGTGGTGGAGTCACCATAGAATCATGGAATACATTGAGCTGGAAGGGACCCCCAAAGGTCATCTAGTCCAACCCCCCTGCAGTGAGCAGGTACATCTTTAGCTAGACCAGGTTGCCCAGAGCCCCATCAAGCCTGATCTTGAACGTCTCCAGGGACAGGGCCTCTACCACGTCTCTGGGCAAACTGTTCCAGTGCTTTACCACCTTTATGGTAAAGAACTTCTTCCTAATATCCAATTTGAATCTACCCATTTCTAGTTTAAAACCATTGCCCCTCGTCCTATCGCTATGTGCCCTTGTAAACAGTCCCTCCCCAGCTTTCTTCTAGGCCCCCCCTTAGGTACTGGAAGGCCGATATAAGGTCTCCCTGGAGCCTTCTCTTCTCCAGGCTGAACAACTCCAACTCTCAGCCTGTCTTCATAGGGGAGGTGCTCCAGCCCCCTGATCATTTTTGTGGCCCTCCTCTGGACCTGCTCCAGCAGGTCATGTCCTTCTTGTATTGAGGTGTTCAAAAAATGTGTAGATGTGGCACTTCAGGACATGTTTTAGTGGGCATAGTGGTTGATGGTTGGACTTGATGATCTTGAAGGTCTTTTCCAACCTTATGATTCTATGAAAATTGGAGGTACTTTTAAAATTGCTTCCTCCATAGTCTGTTCATCTATCCCACATTCAGATATGTCTGGAAAAACTGGTGGAATGTTGTTTCATTCAATTGTGTTTCTACAGTTAACTGCAAAAATGGTTCTGTAATGCAGTGAGAACTTTCTTCTGTTCCTTACTCTACAATCAAATAGCATGTAAAAACGAAGGCTATAAAATAGGAACATGAAGTTCATGAAGTTACATGGATTTTTCTAGGAGTTCAATGGAAATAAATGAATGTGTTAGCATGGGTGCAGTGGTGTTTTCCTTGTTTCCACTGTTCCCAGAAGTGAGTTCAGCAAATATAACAAATCAGAAATAGAGGGGAGGAGTAGCACATGCTGGTACTGTAATTTAAACACACGGTCTGTGAAGCATTACTGTGCAGTGTTTTTACATCTGTATTATCTTTACCTGCTTTCGTTGCTTTGCAAAATTGACCAGCAGAAAAGTGAAAAAATGTTCTCCAGTATGAAGGTCTATGTGTAGTCCAGTGTAGATCGGGCAGTCTTTACCATGTTGTGCCTGTTTTATAAATAAATATGCTAAAAAGGAAATAAAATCATGTTGCTTCGTGTGGCATATTTCTTAGTGGAGTTGAATATTGGAAAACATATGCAACCAAAGACGAAGTGTGCTTAGTAGTACTTGTGTTAAATGAGCTGTATTGTGGAAACTAACATGGCAGCAACACCATTTTAATTAATGCTGTAGTAACGTGGGGGTTTCTTGTACACAAGGGAAAACTGGGCAGTCATTGCCACATGCAGACAAAGTAGAGCTTTGTTTACTATTATATTTTTGTACAAGTAAGATTCCCGCTTATTTTGTGATGCTGCTACAGTGTGTCTGTAACTCTGACCTGGAATTGTTCGTGTACATGTTTAGAGAGGGTAAAATATACTTAAAACTTTAAAAGATGCTTCATGATACCTTCTACCTTGTGACAGAAAGTCCTTTCAATGATTAGAATGTGATAAATAATTCTACATAAATAAAGTGGTGACTACTGCCCTATTTCATGATCTTCTCAATTTGTATCTATTCATTCTCACTTGTTTGAAATGATGAAGTAGTTACAAAATGTAGGGTTTTGGGGGAAAATACCAACTTCTTGAACATCAAAGAACATGTTAAAATGTTTTAATAATTCAGCGGTGCACATTTTTATTAATTGGAGTTTCTAGGGATAGCAATTAGTTGCTTAAGGCAGAAAGAAAATATTCTCGTTTGTTTGTCGAGTTTGACCTACAGTGAGGTCTTTATGACCAGAGCTCTTGGATGTTGTGGTCATGCAAATGCATAAATGGAGTTTAGGATTCATCTCTTCTAATGTCCCTGTATTTGACCTAATTGACTTAGGCTCTCTTCTTGAAGGAGAAAATTCACCTTCAGTGCATTCCTTAAATTGATCAAATGAATTCTATACGAACAGTGTTTATGTAGGTTCCTTTCTCATTGGTCAAGAGCAGGGTGACAAGGTCAGATGTCTGTGTCCACAAAGATGCTCACGTTGAGGTGACAAATCTGAATTATTTATCCCTTTAGAATGTCTAAAATAATACAGTACCAGCTCCTAAACTTGAATATGCTTTAAAATAAGAGAAACTGTGAATTAGCAACAGTTGCTGCACAATTATTAATCCCAACAAAAAGATGGAAAATTTACAGCCTGATTGATAGTTCAGTACAAATGCACATTGATGCACCAAGACACGTACAAACCAATGCAAGACATGGGTGCAAGACAGAGGTATGAGTTAGAGTGCCTAGTTTTGGATTTAGATCACCAACAGAATTTATATTGCAGATTTAAATGTTGTGGTTTTGCTGAAGTAAGTGAAAATGGGCATTCCATGTAATCCAGAAAAAAGTAACTTTAAGAATTATCAATGTAAGGAAGGAATGGTACCAAGTTAATGATGCATTGGATTCTAAACTGTTTGAATATGAGTTTTGGCCAGTTCTAAATTAATCGATAACAAACTTTGTTGTCAAGACTCAGTGTGTATCAGTAGTTTTATTTTTGTCCACAGTGTACTTCTTGGAGCAGTGTTGGTTAATGGCATCAAGATAACGTTGTTGAATGTTACGAAAAGCCTGCATTTGTTATTAATTAGCAAAACATGCTAATCACATGCTCAAAATGTGAAGTTATCATTCACTACCCTTTTGTATTTTTGTTGAATACTTTAGTGAATGACAGTGCTGAATGTACTTTCCATTTTTTCAAAACAGATAAAACTAAGCTCCCAAGGTTCTCTAATTAGGTTCTGCAGAGGGCTAGTTGGGTTACTTGGCAGTCCAGCTCTCCTCATCTTTTCACCTGAAGTTGACAGACAGCTGCACATCACTTGCATATTACTGCTCAAGTATGACTGGTTACTTAAATTACCATGGAGAGATTGTTCAGTTGTCAGTGGTGTGGGCAGTAGTCCATCAAATAATCTGAGGATGTGATCTGTGCACAGAAAGGTTAGGAAGACTAGTGATGACTCACTAGCCAGTTCGTTACAACTCCCTAGGCACTGAATATGAACTCATCGTACCAAGTTGCTGTACTGTGCTTGAGATTCCAGATGTAACTGGCTTGGCTTGAAAGACCCTAAGTCACATTTAAAACTGACAAAGTAACTAATCAACGAGAAAAGGAAGAGAATGTTTAGTTCAGGGGTACAAAATCTAGTTACGGTACAACAGTCTAGATGGTGGTATTCCTGTTAAGCCTTATCTCACCGTTGCTGTAGGTCTGATCGCTACAGCTGTTTGTTGGGAAAGTGGTGGTGGCCAGAGTAAGGGCCTGAGAATCTGACATACCATGATGCTTGGAAAGAATCCAAAACTTGCTTGGTTTTGAATGTGGCTGTTGTTGGCAGGCTTAACCTTTTGTTGTTAAACTTTCTGTACTAGCAGGTCATTCTTGTGAATGCGTGACTGTCCTAACTCTCGCTTTGTTTTGTCTTAGTCACATTGATCAAACAACAACATGGCAAGATCCTAGGAAGGCCATGCTTTCCCAGATGAACGTTACAGCTCCCACCAGTCCTTCCGTGCAGCAGAACATCATGAACTCTGCATCAGGTAAGCGAAATTTGTGTTTATGAAAAAGACCATACAAATGAAGATACCACTAGTGATTTTAATTCAGGGAGGAGGGAGTCCAAATCTCACAGTTGTCCTAGTTATCCTGGTTTTAAACTCTAAATTTGTTGATGCCTGGTGAATCAAGCAAGGGGCTGATACTTGAGGTAAGAGAATTTGTGTAATATTTATAATGTCAACAGGAAGTATCCTGTAGTTCTTTGGTTTGTGTTTTCATATCTCAAATGGATGATTCAAACATTTAAAGACGCAGAATTTTTGGCTAATTTCTTCTGACTGAAAATGCTGTTAAATTGATGAAGACCAGAATTTCCACTAAATTTACATTAAAGCTGTTGTGCTTCTGCGGTGTTCTTCTGCCTTCCCTTGCTCACTTACTAGACTTGGTATACTCGCATTCATTTCCATTTCCTGTAATTGTTAGGAACATCTCATTTTTCCTGTCTTCCCTAAATGAATGAAGCAAAGACCTGGAAAATCTTGTTTAGAAGCAAAGACATTTTGGTTTTCCTTTTTGTTTTCCTATCATTTCCAAAATCCTGTATCATGATGATTATTCTGCTAGCTGAGGAAATCCGGTATCTTTTCCTGCAATATCGAATTGTTTTTCAGCTAGTCTGGGGAGGCTGTCACTAGACAGCAGTAAAGCATGCTTGTTCCTGCTATGGGATCTGCCGTATGTTTTCAGATGCATCTGATGATACAGGGAACAAGTAGATAAATTTGGTGCCATGCTAGATTGACTGCTGTGCTCTTCCCTATGCTTTGTCACCTTCTGTCTGTCACTGAGGTTCATGTTTTATTTATTTTCTCACAGTGTGATTGTATTTTGTGTATGTCTGTTCCCGTATTTCACAAAGGTTATTCTCTAGTGCTGCTTTTTGTTGTCCGTTTAGACAGCTTTGTTTCATGCTGCGATTCATATGCTGCAGACAATACCAAAAGATTAACAGGCATGACCAAACTGTGCTGTTCATGACTGAGTATTAGAGGGGGAGCTAATCAAACTTTTTGCTGGCTAGGCCAAGAGGTTGGATTACCCTGAAACAAATGAGAGCCCTGTTCAAATTCAGGAAGTCATTGTTCGGAGCAATTAAGATCTTCAGGCTCTGATGTGAAAATATAATATCTGTGATTATTTTTGCTGTAAGTATATCCCAGGAAACTGGAAACAATAGAGGTGACATGTTTTTGCAGGGGCACTTTTGAAGCATAGATAATCATAGACGCATAGAATCATTCAAGTTGGAAAAGACCTTTGAGATGATTGAGTCCAACCATCAACCCTACTCTACCAAGCACACCCCTAAACCATATCTCCAAGCACCACATCTAAACGACCTTTAAACACATTAAGGGGTGGTGACTCAACCACCTCCCTGGGCAGCCTATTCCAGTGGGAGAAAGGAAACAATTCCTTTGGTCTCTCTTACCTTTTGGCTTATCTTATTTGTGCTAGAACTAGATGCTTGCTGTTTGAATATTGATACAAATTCTGTGTGTTAAGATAACTCCTCAAACCTTCTGATATGCCAAGAATTAACGGGAAAAAAATTTTGATAGTGAAGTAGCAGTCACTTTATGTAGTTATAAAGAAAAAAGAGTCCTTAGCAAGAAAATAAACTGTTTAGTTGTAAGGGGTAAAAATCTAAAAGAGAATCTAGCAATCAGTACATGAGGATTGTTTTAAGAAAACCAAGAATTTTTATGTCACTGACTGATATAAGTGTATGAGCAAGTGATCCTGCATAGATACTGTTGCTTATGCAATAAAGATTTGAGACATTTAAGTGGATTGTCTTGTGACTTCATTGAGTACAAGTTCATTGAACATTTATTTTTAATTTCACAGATCATACTGTATTGAACATGAACTTAAAATAAAATATCCTTTTCTTTCTCCTCCCCCTCTACTCTGCCCTGATGAGACCACATCTGGAATAGAGTGTCCAGTTCTGGGACCCTCAGTTCAAGAAGGGCAGGGAACTGCTTGGAAGAGTCCAGCGCAGAGCCACAAAGATGGTTAAGGGGGTAGAACATCTCCCTTATGATGAAAGGCTGAGGGAGCTGGGTCTCTTGAGCTTGGAGAAGAGGAGACTGAGGGGTGACCTCATCAATGTTTATAAAAGAGTAAAGGGCGAGTGTCAGGAGGATGGAGCCAGGCTCTTCTCTGTGATGTCCAATGACAGGACAAGGGGCAACGGGTGCAAGCTGGAGCATAGGAAGTTCCACATTAACATAAGGAAAAACTTTTTTTCCTGTGAGGGTGACAGAGCACTGGAACAGGCTGCTCAGAGAGGTTGTGGGGTCTCCTTCCTGGACGTGTTCCTGTGTGCTCTGCTCTAGGTGGTCCTGCTCTTGCAGGGGGGTTGGACTAGATGGTATTTTGCGGTCCCTTCCAACCCCTAACATTCTGTGATTCTGTGATCTTGTGAAGTTTTTTTCCCCCAGTGCTCTGAATTTGATAAAGTGTCTGAAGAAATCAGAACTTCGGTGTATATTGAGTTACATGTTTGCATGGCGTTGCTTTTTTTTTTTTTTAACTTAAAGCAGTTAAGGTAGTATGACTTGGAACTGTCTCCTTGGATGCACCTGCTTACCCTTAACTTACTTGCATTTGACAAAAGTCTGGTTTGCATTAAATAATACTGAGCCTGCATTTATTGGATATGATTTTGTTTCTGATACCTGATTTGACAAATCATTATGTACCAACTTTAAATTATGACTGTATATTTGTTTTTACTGAAGTCTCTTATATCTGGTTCTGTTGCTTTTTATTGCTGAGTTCATGGTAACTTATTTAGTAACCAACTTCCTTGGTGGCCTTGTAAAGAATCTTGGAGAGAAATGGAAAAGTCAAGTAACTATGTACCACTTCAGCACAGTGGAACTTAGATCAGAGTGCTAACATCATAAATATAAGACTACTTAATGTTCAAATTTGGATACTCATCTTCAAGAACTGGGAAATAAAGTTGAGACCTTTAAGACAGAAGTTTCCTGTTATGAAATACTGCTGGCAATGAAACTTGCCCTAGTGCTTTGAGAGCCTTTCATGAAGGATATTGGGAAAAACCAAATGTAAGTATTGTGACAGCTGGAGGTCACTGACTTGCAAAAAAATGTCCTAAATGTCACAAGGGAGGTTGTTTTCCTTTCTGTATGCTTCATCCTTGTATAGCGCTCATTAATTGTAGCCCTTAATCAGAAATTACTGTCTGAGTTTCAGTATATTTAATTACAGATTGCCATAGGAGCTTGTGAGTAAAGTTGTTGTGGTAAAATGCAAGAGAGATTTTTAGGAGCTATATTGAAAGCCATTAGAAGCTTTAGCCTTTTAGCCAGAATTAGAATTCTAGCCATTATCTAGAATTAAGATCAGGAAAACAAACTGAACAGGTAGAGAGAGAGAGAACAGAACTGGGGAAGCTGCTTTCTACATATTTAACATGAAGCTGTTGTCTTCTCTGGATAAAAAGGATAAGTGGAGCTCAGGGAAAATGGGAAGAAAGCAAAACTAGAAGGTGTGGTAAGGGTGAAGGCAATGATTTTGTGAATGAACTGTTTTGTTCTGCTTGTTTTGGTTCTTTGATGCTTTTTTGTCTCAGTCTTGCTGAACTTAGCTTGCTACATGTACTCAACTAAAATGGTTTGGGCCATATGTATGCAGAGAAACACAGTGCTCTTAGATGGCGTTTGTTGGTTAATCTTCTATGAAACAGGATTGCATCTTCACATCAATAATGGAAAGAAAACAAGCCTGTAACTTCTAAATATGCAACATATATATAAAAATTAGTCTTGCCTGTTGTGATTTATTGTGTGTGTGATTCTAACCATTTTTTCCCTAAAGGTATTACAGGAAAACTATGTTCTTCTGACTTGATCTAAAAAAAAAAAAAAAAAAGGTAGTAAAACAGTACATTGTTCTTCTGAGGAACCTCTCCTCCTACATTTCTTACTGAGGTAAAGTTATAAATTTGAAAGTAAACAATGCCTGTTTCTTGCACAATTACAGTTGATACAACAGAGATGGGATAGTAATTGTATTTATATACTTTGGTTCTTCAGATACCTTTACTTCCTGAATCATGCTTGACAGCAGTGCTTACTTCAGCCTCTTCTGCTTGCACATAGACATTAGATAATTAGCTTTGGAGCAGATTATCTGTCTTTGTCCTCTTTAGTCTTCTCTCTTACATTGCAGTTTTGAGTTGGGCTTCCTGGTGAAAGTTTGTAGACCTGCTGTAATTCTGTGGCCTCTTAGGGTGAGGCTGTAATGCCATGTTAAAGGTTGGTAGGAAAATGGACACTCGAATTCCTAACTCTTGAGGTTGTTCTACCCCTTGTGCGGCAGGAGGGCAAAGAGAAATATGCCAATAAGTAAAACAAGGTCTAGCTCTTCTCTTAGATTCTTGCTTACTTCAGTTGCAGGTATCTCATCTGTAACCAGACATACTACAGATTCTGCTTTGTGTACCAGCAGCACTGCATATGACTTGTTGTGAAACTCGAGTTTCTAAGTATCTGCATGACAGTCATGTTCAATTCTTCCTTCATCTGCAAAAAATGCCCCTTTTTTAAATAGTGTCTTTTTGTAAGTTTTACTGGTTTGACAGAATAAATGTGGACTTCAGGTAAACTTTATGGACTTCGATATAATTTTTAAAAAGTTTTGCAATCACAGTGACAGTGATTGAAGGGAAAAAATTTCAGTGTTCACAGAGAAATATTAGGTAGGTTCTTAGAGT